TGGACTTGATGGCCTTCGTGGCCCCTTCCCACTAGGATCCTGGGGTTGGGCTTGATGGCCTCCATGGCCCAAATATGATCCTGGGGTTGGGCTTGATGGCCTTCGTGGCCCAAATATCATCCTGGGGTTGGACTTGATGGGCTTCATGGCCCCTTCCCACTAGGATCCTGGGGTTGGGCTTGATGGCCTCCATGGCCCCTTCCGGCTCCACGATGCCCTTACGATCCCCTGATCCAAGACCTGAGTCCTTTGAATTCTGGTCCCTCGGACTTCGAGGAGATCCACCCAGTCAGGAGATCCACCCAGTCCTCTAGGAGATCAGCCAGGGCTGCTCTCTAGAAGGCCAGATCCCGAAGACGCAACTCAAACCCTCTGGCCCTCTAATGGGAAGGAAGGACTCCCTGCAGCTGCTGGGGATGATGGAGGGCAAGAGGAGGAGGGGGTGGCTTATGGGGTCGCTGGGGGTGAGCTTGGGTGGACGCCGGGGATGATGGGGGATGGGCAGGCCTGGGGGAACGTTGTCCCCGGGGTCCCAATGGGTCACACCCAACTCCGTGACTAGAAGCATATATGAAATATAGAATACATTGCGAAAGATATTTCAACACTGGCGAGATTTTTCAACCCCGACATCCGTTCCGAAGCCGCCGTCTTGCCCAACATCCGGCGGCGGCTCGGTGCTCCATCGCCCCGTCCCAAAATTACTCCAAAATCTACCCAAAATTGGTATATTTTTTTGTATTTTTGGATTTGGTGGTCATTTATGATGTTCTATTGTATGTCAATGTACTTCATTGTAAGCCGCCCTGAGGCTTCGGCAAGGGGCGGCGTAGAAATGTTATAATATTATATAATAACATTATTATTATTATTATTATTATTATTATTATAACATTTCTATGCCGCCCCTTGCCGAAACCTCGGGGCGGCTTACAACACGATAAAATACATTGAAATACAATAGTACGTCATAAATTACCATTAAATACAAAAATACAAGAAATACATCGATTTACAAATATAAAATTAAAATGATCAGTATAAAATAAAAATATAGGAGGAGAAAGAGAAGGAAGAAGAAGTTAACAATAATATATATATATATATATATTTAAAAAAATTACTCCCAAATAGAGAAATGTATCCAAAGGACAGCCTACAAAACCCTTTTCATAGGAACTGGGATTTTAAAATAACACTTTGATAGTGCAATCATCTCCCCGGAAGCGGAAAGGCAGATTTCGCAAACCTTTGTCCATTTCCGGATCTCCGTAGAAGTTCCCGGCGGTCAGGCTGAATCTCCCGTAGTCGGGTTTATGCTCAGAGACTACCCATCTTCGCCGCCACTTGGCTGGGAAGGAAGGGGAGAAAGAACGAGAGAGAGAGCGGTTCAGGGGTGTCGGTTGTGTTTCGTTGTGCGGTTTTCTCGACGGGGCTGCTATACGTTATATATGTATAATGTATATACTTTACATTATATGTATATGTATATATGTATATAATCTACATTATATGTAGTATACATTATACATTATATGTGTATATATGTGTTTGTGTGTATATATATATCTACACATTATAAATATATACATTACATATATATTTATAATATGTATATATATACACACAAACATATTAATATATATACTATACATTATATATCATTACACTATACTATACATACATATATATATTGCTATATATATTATGTAGAATATATGTAATATACATACACTTATGTATAAGTAGTATTGTATGCTATCATACTATACATTATATATCATTACACTATACTATACATACATATATATTGCTACATATATAATGTATTATAAGTATATGTACTATATATACACCTACAAATTAGTAGTATTGTATGCTATGATACTATACTATACGTGTATATATTACAGTACATTCATGTTATTAACATTCACTATGAATACTAAAAGACCGATTATATATAATCCATATAATCTATAATATATCGATGAAATATAATGGGCTCAAATGGGCTCCCACGGGAAGTGGTTCGGGCTCCAGCGTCGAGGGCGTTCAAGGACAGGCTAGACATGCACCTGGTGGGCATGTCGAGAGGGGAGCTGGCCGTAGCCCGGGGTCAGACTAGATCGCCCAGGAGCCCCTTCTGCCTCTGTTTCTCTGAGCGGAGCCGGGGTCAGACTAGATGACCCAGGAGGCCCCTTCTGACTCAATGAGCAGAGCCAGGGTCAGACTAGATGACCCAGGAGGTCCCTTCTGACTCAATGAGCAGAGCCAGGGTCAGACTAGATGTCCCAGGAGGCCCCTTCTGACTCTCTGTTTCTATGAGCGGAGCCGGGGTCCGACTAGATTTCCCAGGAGGCCCCTTCTGACTCAATGAGCAGAGCCAGGGTCAGACTAGATGGCCCAGGAAGACCCTTCTGACACTTTCTATGAGCGGAGCCAGGGTCAGACTAGATGTCCCAGGAGGCCCCTTCTGACTCAATGAGGAGAGCCAGGGTCAGACTAGATGTCCCAGGAGGCCCCTTCTGACTGTTTCTATGAGCGGAGCCAGGGTCAGACTAGATGTCCCAGGAGACCCCCTTCTGACTCACTGTTTCTATGAGCAGAGCCGGGGTCAGACTAGATGACCCAGGAGGCCCCTTCTGACTCAATGAGCGGAGCCAGGGTCAGACTAGATGTCCCAGGAGACCCCTTCTGACTGTTTCTATGAGCGGAGCCAGGGTCAGACTAGATGACCCAGGAGGTCCCTTCTGACTCAATGAGCAGAGCCAGGGTCAGACTAGATGGCGCAGGAGGCCTTTTCTGCCTCGCTCAGTTTCTATGTCCCATATATTGATATAATACATATAATTATTACTAATAATACTAATGATTATTAACATCCACTATCGTGGATACGAATACAAATTGTCTGAGGCTCCGTCGGGACTGAGGAAGGCGGAGTTACGCAAGAGGACAGCCCGCCCCCCTCGCGCCCGCAGGGAAAGGGCTCAACACGCAAGATAACGTGTGAACGCGGCCACATGCGTGTCACGGGCCCGGAAGGCCACCCGCTCCCCGGGGAGGCCACCACCTCCGTCCAGGAACTGCTCCCGGAAGAAGACGGTGCCGTGGGCGGGAAGGGCCACGGCGGCCACGGCCAGCAGGCCCAGCAGGCAGAGCCGCGGGCGAGCAGCGCGTCCCATGGCGACGGAACCAGCAATG